CAGGGATTTATTTCAAATTCCTGGCAAGATGTTAACCCTTCCTTGAGTAGGGCTAACAATTGGACAGGCAGTCGCACTCGCACTCGCAAAACGACGGTACAAGGGGCAACGTCGATTAGCAAGCAATCCATGATAAATTGCACGCTATTTCATTATGTATTTGGATACCAGGCTGTAGTAAATAAATGCTCAAGCACACAGCCTTTAAGCGTAGTAAATGCGCTAATAGCATTTACATAGGATAAACAAAGCCTAGTATTAATCTTATGTACTCGTGACAAGAGCTTTCCGCTGAAAGGATGAGATGAAGTGATGCGCCCTGAAAATCTTAATATTTCTTACAAATCAATTTTTACATGTAAATAAATAATCAACGCTAATTTCACCACCAGCACACCTGTTACCTGCAAACTGGATGACAATTATACAGAAGCATAATTACCACAACGGTTGCTTAGATATCTGTCATTACGTCTTCCATCGGCGCTGGCCCTAATTGAGCCTCATTTATGCTACACCACAGTGTTTACAAGAAACCTTTCGATTTCCCACAAGTGTTACCACCATTACATTACACGACCAACTAGTCTGTTTCTAATAATGCACGCAAACCTCCACAAAGCTCAAATAATTCAAAAATTCTTGTTAATTAATTAATTATAGATAATAACAGTAACTCAAGATTTAAAACACATAAATTATCAACTATTAAAATCGTAAAAAAACTATGTAAACCTTTACAACAAGACAAAAAATGCAACACAATTGCTGACTCCTGCAGCTTTGTATTTTTTGCGTAGCTTCGGCTAGACTTGACCTCATAGTTTATTATACTCGTTGTCATATTAATGTGCACCGAAGTAGTCGTTGAAAGGGATCATTTTTAGGTGGCAACCATTCAAAAATTCCCTACAAATTATTTTTTCAGATAGCAAAAAATAATTAAAATTAACAACGTAATTAACATAAGGTAGCAAACATTATTGATGTGATTAAATTTGTTCTGAATGACATTAATGGCACTTTTTGTGTGAATCAGCCTTTAACTTAAAGATGTACCGTGCGATCAAAAAAAAATAAACCAGAGTAGGATGTGATTAAAGTCCTTCAGATGGCAATCCTAATTTTTGACATCAAATGTCAACGGAAAGTTTGACAAGTTTGCGTTTTATTCCTTTTGAGTGAAATAATGTTCACTTTAGAACAGAAAATTTTTATTGCTGTACAGGGTGCTGCATTTTGGATGTCCGAATAGGGAATCTCCGAAACTAAGAGGTTTAGCCAAAAACGAATAATACATTCTGGGGCTCATTTTTTGAGAAAATAATATTGGTTAAAACCGCATCCAGCTATCGTCTTTTGTTTTCGACTTATAGACAAAAATGGACATTTCAGCGAAATCTAAAAAAAATCATATCTTCGTTATTATAGAAGACACCGAGTTGAAATAAAGACATTTGCAGGCACTTTTTTACGTAAAATTTAATAATGTAGTTAACAATTTTTTTCAGTTGTTTGTTTAGCCGTAATAAAATAAATTTGTATTTTTTTAAATGGGAATCATAGATACATACATTCATACATTTATATTACATTTATATAATAATTTATATAAATATAATATAAATAATAATTTATATAATAGTATAATTTATTATAAATGTACATAAATAAATGTACATTATAATACAGTTTTAGCAAAAAATTATCTTTGATTTTTGTTCGCAGTTGGCCATGAAAAAATGTTGCATCTTCATCTAAAAGGATTTGAACTATATTATTCAACCAGTGTCACTAATGAAAGAGTTTTCTAAGTACTAAATAATGAAAAAAATGCAAAATAAGTCGTAAATCAACTTATTGGCGACTAATAACATTTCTTTGTTTTTAAACAAGCTAACATTGCCATTGTAACTTCTAGTGATACATAGAGTGTTGTAAAAAAAAGCCGCTTTAATTCTTCAATAAAAAATATTTTGTATGACACAAAAATGACGATATAACTATTCAAATACCCAAATTCCGTCTATGTGGAACGTTATCCTATCTCCATTAGACCATCAAAAAAATGTTTTTTCTAATTGTGTTGACTGTTGACACATTAGTTTTTCCTATTTTTGGATTTTTTAAAAATATGTAGTAATTTTGTTCTGAAGCGCTCGGATATTTGTTCAATTCTTCTACCGTATCGTATTTTTTAAATTTTTATAATTGTATCTATTTTTTCATCTATGTTACAGTTCACAAAAGTCTTATTGATTATTATTTACACATTTGGAGTGAAATAGTTTTTCCATGATCAACTATTATCAAACAAAATATGTATTTAATTTTTTAAGTATAATTATTAAAAAATATTCTGTTACAAATATATATTTTTTAGATCAGGAAAAGATAAGCTTTTCAAAATTGCCATAGCCGCCTATGATTTCTATTTAAAAAATACAACTTTATCTTATTACGGTTAAACCAATAACTGAAAAAAAATGTTAACTACATTATTAAATTTCTCGTTAAAGAGTGTCTGTATAATGTCTTTGTTTCAAATCTGTATCTTCTATAATAACAAAGATATGAATTTTTTTAGATTTCGCTAAAATGTCAATTTTTGTGTATAAGTCGCAAACAAAAGACGATAGCGAGATGCGGTTTTAAGCAATATTATTTTCTCAAAAAACGAGCCCCAGAATGTATCACTCGTTTTTGACTAAACATCTTAGTTTCGGAGATTCCCTATTCGGACAGCACCCTGTACAAGAGGAAAACGGTTGATGGTCATTTTCACTTTCAGTTTGTGTGAAAAATTTCCAGCCGAGATTCCCAGCCAATGTGTTGCCAACTGTAGAATTTAATCGACGCCTATTCTAATTTATTTTTTATTTGATCGCACGGTATTTAGACTTCTACAACCTACTTGATGCACATTAATATGAAAAAGAGTATAGTTGAGTTTTAAGCAGTTGATTTTCGGATTTTTGACTCGAGTGAGGTGTTGGTAGTATGTTTGAACGGGTGACCGATCATTTCCTGATGTGCCATTTAAAGGAACTAGCGAGTGGTTCATGGTCCATTGCTGTTGCATCCGGGGTTCCTTCTACCGGTCAATCCATACAAATGGATCGCGGAACCTACAACCAAAACCACTTATCCACTTGCGAACGTCATACTCGGGGCCACCCACACTCTTAGAATTTCATTTCAGTCTGAAAATCAGTAAATTTGAGATATATAAAATTGTGTAAATTGAAATTCTCGTTAAGGGTTGGGATCCGGTGATTAAATCTCAAAGTTGATACATGCCAATTCTGTATTGTTACTTGGTAACAAGCTTGAGACAAGGCACACCGGTCAGCTTAACGAATTAATAAGCCACTTATCCCGTTGACGTCCACCGCAACGCGTCCATTAGTGAAAGATTACATGGCCACTAACTCGGAGTGAAAGAACAATGTGCATTTAGATCTAACAAATTCAAATCAATTATAATCACGCAAATCTGGGGTTTAGACAAGTTGTTACGTTACGAGAAGCACAAAAATGAGATTATAATTTGTCGACTGACTATGTTGGCAACTTCTAAGGAAGAACTTTTCTCCTTTATAACGTTATAAATGGGGTAATATCCTTTGCATTTTAGCTGCATGTTTTAATCTCCCGGCAATAATTAAAAACAACGTTCATTTTATCTTCGCACAGCTTTCTCGGTTCCACGTCACCTTGGACAGATGACTTTCACCGGTTTACTTAGGTACACCTATTTATTTCGTTCAAACATCGCAAAACTGCCCTTTGTTCTTATTTATCCCCCCACATCCTCATTAAAATTATAGTTTTGCTCAAAATAACTTACCTGAAATTAAGTTATAGATTTAAAAACTATTATAATTAAACTTGCAATCCATAAACACTTGTTTTTTTATATAAAATCTTTATTAATAGCATACTTTTTGTTTTTTTTTCATTATTTAGTGCGTAGCACGAGTTTCAGAAAAAAATTACAAGTATATTCTACTGTGTTTTTAATTTTTTCTTTTATAAATACTTGTATAAATTTTTAAAATAACATATTAAAAGTTTTCTAATTATCCTGTTATAATAAATAACAAGAAATTACTAAACTATAAATAATGTATTCCATAGTAATAAGCAATCTCTTACATAAATGTGTTTTTGGGACTTATACACGTATATCTAAGAAATAAATAATAGACAATCATTATTAATATTATGTATAAAAGAGAACTTTTTTTTTAATTTTTTGATTCACATTTAAATTACTATTAAATAAAAATTAATAAAACATGAATCGAATTTCATTTATTATGTATTATCCACAATTCAGTTATTTTATACAAAAACATTACAATTATTATACAAAATTATACAAAACAAGAGCTCTTTCAGTTATCCAAATAAAAATAAATACTAATGTTATAGCATTCTACTAAAAACAAGCAAAAATGATTTTTTTTATTTAAATTATAACGTGGAGACAAATTTTTTTATAATTAATTCAGGCATTATTTTTTGAGCTTCTTACGCAAAATTTGACATCAACACCCCTCTGGACGGTTATGTAGGAAATTTCACTGAGTCTCACTTTTTGAGCAATCAATAAGTAGGAAGATTTATTTTCGTGTTAGTCAAGACTCAAACTTCTAATTTTTCTGGTTGCGACATCTAGGCTTTATAATAACAGTTATACTTTTAACTTAACAAAAATTAGTTAAAATTAAAATTCCTGTAATTTAGCGACATCTAGTAGTGAGTAGTATTTAGTTAGATTGTACCTTTAACTTTAAATTCCTGTAATTGTAGCAGCATCAAGTATTGAGTAGTATTAAGTTATAATGTTAACTTTATAAAAGGTCGTAAAAGTTAAGAATCCTGTATTGGTACCGACATCTAGTATTGAGTAGCGTTACATTAACTTTGACAGAAAACAGTGCGTTGCCGTAGAAACCTGTAAAACTTTGTTACCATTTGTAAAATAATGACATAATCACAATGTTAGTATGGTTGTTAGTTTGGTTAGTTTACACAAGCAGTTTACAAAATAATATTTTATAATGGAGGCTTCTTATTGTTTGTGTGGTCAGCCTTACGATCCTAATATATTTATGATACAATGTGATGCATGCAAAGACTGGTTTCACAGCAGGTAAGTCGTCCACTCACCTGTTTGCTGTTTTTTGTTTTAGGAATAGGCCAGTGGGGCCAGTCTTAACTCACTTTCATTGTTGCAGTTGTTGTAATTTTCAAGAACATTTAGCCATAGAAATTGATAAATATCACTGTCCAAAATGTGCTCCAATATTTGGTCCATCAATATGTAAGTAGTTTCAGTGGATGAAATAGAGGGTAAATGATGATTTTTTAGATAAACCGTATCGTAATTGGCACAGACATGACTATTGGGACGAAGAGGCGACAACAAAGCCTGTTCAAACAGGAACTGGAGTTTTTATTAGAGAGTTATTGGCGAGACATTTTGCAAGTGAAGGAGAGGTTGTTATACATATGAGAGGTCAGCAGATTACGGAAACGCTGTTTCAACAACAAGGATTCAACAACCCTATTGTGGTTGATGGAAAAGACGGATTAGACATGACCCTTCCCCCTGATAATTTCAGTCTCTATGATGTGGAATCATATGTGGGTGGGGACGTAGAAATTGATGTAATAGACGTCACTAGACAATGTAATATAAAAATGAAATTACGAGATTTCGTAGAATACTATAACAGTTTAAACAGAACAAGGGTTTTTAACGTGGTCAGTTTGGAATTCTCAAAGACAGCGTAAAGTATACATATTTTGAAACAATATGTTAATACTTCATAGTATATTTGTAGTTTAGCACCTCTTGTGGAAGCCCCCTTAATAGCCCGCAAGTTAGACTGGGCTAACATCGTCTGGCCTCGCGATTTTCCTTTAGAAAGGCCACAAGTCCAAAAATATTGTCTGATGAGTGTTAAAGATTCCTACACCGACTTTCATATTGACTTTGGGGGCACTAGTGTGTGGTACCATGTTTTAAGGGGCGAAAAAATTTTCTATCTCATAAGACCAACCCCCGCAAATTTAACTCTTTACCAGCAATGGATGACGTCAAGCAATCAGAGTGAAACATTTTTTGGCGATCAGGTGAGTCCACCTCTTGAAAATACAATAAATTACGAATTATCTTAGGTTGATCGGTGTTATAAATGTATTTTGAGACAAGGACAAACCATGATGATACCAACAGGATGGATTCATGCCGTTTTGACACCGATTGATTCGTTGGTTTTTGGGGGAAATTTCCTCCAAAGTTTCAACATACCAATGCAACTAGCGTAAGTTATCTAATTTCAGTAAAAAACCTGAGCCTAAAATTTATCGTTTTAGGGTGTATGACATCGAAAAGAAGGTGAAAACCGACGCCAAGTACAGGTATCCAAATTTCGAACTAATCAATTGGTTCGCTGCCACGCATTTATTAAAAAAAATGTCTGAACTCAACAGTGAAGACAGAAAATGTCCAAACAATTTACTTGTCGGACTTAAAACTTTATTAATAACTTTGAAACAATGGAATTCGGAGAAAGATGTAAGCCGGGGGAAAGTGACAAGAAAAAAAATTATATTGTATCTCTTTTCAGTACAATACAAGTGTCAGGGATCAAATCCCATACACGGTAAATCCAGTTCAGTTATTGAAAGACATGTCGCGCGAAATAAGACATGCGGAACGAATTATTAATCAGCTAAATCCACCAAAACCGGAACGTGAGTCAAAACGGAAAAGGAGAAGACCTATAAATCGGGATTTCGTTGATTATTCTCTTTCACCTAAATCCTCTGCTCAAGATGTAATTACTTCAGTGCTGTCAATTTGTTGTTACTAATTTTATTTTCAGTTTATATCAGAAACAAAAGTTGTTGAATATGCTCGCCCACCTTTGAAAATATCTCTTCCCAAACCAGTGACTTACCCATATGATAGACCAAATTTCATGGAACAACGAATTAATGTAGATGACCAAAGTTGGTTATCGCCCCAGTTTTCGCGTCCTGAACAAACAACAGCCATACACAGAGGCGGTGCTGTCTTAAAATTCAAATTAGGGTAATTACTAGATCAACCTTTGCCCTGTTTTTAATTGATTAATTGTAGATCTAAGGATATTCTGCCACACAGCCACCCTGACATTCCAGAAGAACAGTTTGATTTCAAATCTGTATATGATTTCCATGATGAAAGTGATAGAGATGAAGACTGCTTTAATTTTACAATCGACGAGAATCCGCCTCCGAAAAAAAGCAAAAAGCAAAATTCGGCGAAATTCAAATTTCCAGCGAATTACGACGAGAAAACGAAAAAAGGGAAGGAACCGATGATAGATATCGACGGTGATTTACCAAAAAACGGCATAGAATCATTATTGAAAGCTTCAGCTTTGACCACAACGTATGTGTTTTTCATAAACCGTTAATTTTTTTAATTGTGTTTTAATTAGTGACAACAATGGGCGAGCTTCACCTTCTACACAAGAGGCTATAGCTGGGATGCTCTCCATTAGCCAAACCTACCTGCAATCGGGTAAAGTCAACGCTAGATCTGTACGAAAATACAGCAGTAGTCCGCCTTTAGAAGACGGAAATCTTAATAACGTCCACCAGGACGAAGATTACGGTAAAATTTTAGTAAATATCGAGGGAATTTAAGCGAATCGGTCAATTTTTAGTTTATCCGTCTTTGGATAATTCAGACGACGAGGATATACACATATTCAAACCTCGCGGGCGTTCAAAAATCGACGAGGCTTGGAATCCGAAGGCTAGAGTAGGTCCCTTATTACCGAAAATGAACAGACCGGCAAGAGAAGGTACGAAAAAACAGTCGGTTGAGAAGGTTTTAGAGGCCGCTGCTGCGAGAAGAGCGAATGAAACGCCAGAAAAAGTAATTTGTATCGTTTGATGAACAACAAAATAACTTTGTAATTGTAGGCACCGAAAAGGCAGTACAGACGAAAAAAAATTAAACAAAAATTGGAGATTAAAAGTCCAGCTTCTAATACGATTTCAGTGGGAAGTAGCTCTTCAACCTCAACTCCTAAGCCTAGGAAAGGTATGAAAACAGTTAAACAACGACTAGGGAAAATCTTGAAAATTCATAAAATGATGCATTGATAATAATTTATCTGTATTAATTAACACTAGTTTTGATTGCGTTATTAAATTCTCAGATGTGTTCACGATAAAAGGAACAAGCACCACAAGTAATCTTTATTTATTGTTATTGTTGTTTCTCTTATTAGATAAATTTATACTTTCATAGTCAATTTTTTTTTAACGGCAAATATTTTTCCCGCTTGATCCATTCATCGTGAATGTTAGTTAATTTTTAGTTTTGATTATAATACTCAGTGCCATGATGAAGTGGCACATGCTGTTTGTCAGTATTTTTTCTTACGGTAAAAGTAACATTAATTAGGTATATGGTATTTGTAATTGGTTAGTTTTGTTGGTATTGCAAGTTTTCTATTTTGTATATATTGAGTCTCGATTAATTTAATTATGAATGAATCATTTTTTGTATAATTATAAAGTATTGAAAGATAATCAGGGAATTTTAATTTGTAATTATTCATGATGTAAATATTGTTAATTTCTGTGATCGTGCAAAAATAAATTTTGCATTTTAACATAGTTTTAAATCGTAATAAAAGTTTTTATTTACTTACGTCTCGTGGTAAGTAAATGATTACAAATTCATTGATAAATTAATTAAAAAATGAATTGTTATTAAGATAATACACACATTTCCACAAAGTTTGTTTTTATTACCTATTCTTGCACTTAAAAAAAATATATGTAATTTTTTTAGCAGTAATAAAAACGTTTTATGAAAAACACAATTAGAATGTCTGTTTTTTAATAATAAAACAATCGTTTGCGTCCAGTATTGATATGTATTATGGTCACTGAATGTGAAACTGAATTTGGGGATTACATTCTACAACTAAACTACTACTCATTGCGTCATAACCAGTGCGATTATATCTGAATACATACAATGTAAAACACATGGGCAACATTACACCAAGAAATACATTTTTTAATACAGCCCGAATAATAGCTTTTTGCATACCAAGTGGTAAACATGGGCTCACTCTTACAACGTCGTCTGACTGCCCTGGCAATGGTGTAATATTCTCAACTTGAATTACCATTAAACCCATATATTTTTTGCCTGGAGTAGCACATGAACCCCCTTTTAACCAATACACCTGAAATTTGTTAAATTAAATAGTTGCTGCAAAATTTTTGGAGACATCACTTCGTAACAACACACTATGAAACGGTGTAGTAGTTCTAGTGTTAAAATTTCAACAGACATCTGCATGGCAATTTTTGGGTCTTGTAAATTTTTCTTAAATGAGTCAAATCTGTAGTTTTCTATGCTTCTGATAAATAAAAACGATTATTTAAGCAAAGTTGGTACTGGTACTTACAGGACATAAAAACATTCAATTATTACAAAGGTTACAACCATTTTTATTAACAGAAGAATAAGGAAATCTAAGAATTCGGCCACGATCCTTTTCCATAGTGGCGGTATGACAAATTCGTGTATACCAGGCTGAAATACTACAAAATTAAAACGTTATTGGTGACAGTAATTAACATAGGTGTTCATCTACCTGGAGTATTTGGATTTCTTCTATTACCGTGACCAATTCGGTTTAAATATGCTACATTCCAAGTATTATTTTCTGTTTGGCTTTGCAAATTTGTGTAATATGGGAAGCTCGCACAAAATCCATGCCATAACCTAGCTTCGTCCAACCACTGTTTTAGTTTATCTACATACTCTTGCCTACTTTCATACTTCTGTGTATTTTTCGTATTAAAATTTTCCATATTGAAGAACATAACTTGAAAAACTCAAGATTTCACATTTGAATTTATCAAAAACCATCTGTTTATTTCCACTGCTAATTTTTTGCTACCGAGAAGATAAATACACGAACGTGAATGACGTTGACATTTTCTCTTTGCATAATGTATTGAATTTAAAATTATGAAATTGGCCACATTTTTTAAATTTGCGCTCGAATTATTTAAATCTCATTTATTCTAAATAAAAACGATTACACAAATTTTAAATTTAATAGAGTTTGGTAAACTGAAGAGATACATCAGTAGAAAAATTGGGGGTATTTCTCTAGAGTTACTAGATTGAGAGAGTAACCGATAACACTCAGTACTTTGGAGTGGCGGTTTGCAATTTTTGACACTGCTTTGTGACCAGAATTGCAGATCTTTTCGTAATTTACCAATAAGAAGTGCATTCAAAATGTAAACTAACTATGTATATTTCTTTTATATACTTAAATAAAAAAAATAAAAATATTTTTTACTCAAAAATGGTGATTTGTATGAAAAATTTACATGGTTCAAACATCAGAGATCATTTTCTCGAAAAAATTGAATAGGTACGTGCACTTTGCTATTTTAGTTTTATTAGGACAATCAGTTTATCAATTCAAATTTAGAATATAGAGTGAGGTAAAAGCTAGAAGTACACACCGGGCGTGTATGCGTAGATGACCAAAACACGTCTCATAAAAGACCAACCATAGAAAGAAAGCCTAATAACTTATTATTATTTTTAAGTCATTCATTCACTTTATAAACGAAATAAGAAAAAAACGGTTTTTTAATTATTTATTTTTAAAAATAAAAACGCAATCAAAAAATCAGTGGCGTAGAAACGCCAAGTTTTTACAGACAACAATGAATTTCAAATGGCAACAAATTAAATGCACAGTCTATTATTTAAAATGTCAACTATTTTTGATCAGTAAAAATGATAAATGCACAGTAAAAATAATAAGTGTACAGTAAACTAATAAATGCGCAGTAAAAATAATAAATGCACAGTAATAAAAATAATAAACGCACAGTAAATATAATAAATGCACAGTAAAAATAATAAATGCACAGTAAAGACAATGAATAAATAAATAATGTCTGGCAAAACTAATTAATTTAATTCACACATTTACAAACAAAATGTTTCCGAGCAAAACTGGAATGTCGCAAACCGTTCAAAAACGAAATTGTGGTATCAGGAGCACAGCAGTGCACAAAGTGCGTACGCTGATTAGACTGATTATTATGATTATTACCATTTGTGCACAGTTTAGCGCTTGCTAAAATCATTCTTGCGCAGGGGCTCTTGCTAATACATATACAGGGTGCGCCAGAACTCGCGCCCCAGAGAAAAATGTCATATAAGGTAAGATACCAGGAGCATGGAAAAAATGTTAAAAAAATTTTATCTATAAAAATTTCGAAGTTATGAGGGTTTAAACTTTGCACTTTGATTCTATTTATTTCTGTTGGAAAAATAATTTTCCAAGTTTTTTTGATATAGGCTATTAAAAGAGGAAACAAGTAAGCTGTATCCTAAATTGTAACTGTGTTCAATGTTATTTGTAGATTTTATTGGCAAAATTTTTGTCCTTTTACTAAATAATTGTAAAAAAACATATACAAAATCATCAGTATCCTTAAATAGATATAAAAAATGTCAAATGTCAAAAAATAAATGTCAAAATTTTTTGACAGATAGAATTTTTTAAACATTTTTTTCATGTTCCTGGGACCTCACCTTACTTGAAAATTTTCTCTGGGGCGCGAGTTCTGGCGCACCCTGTATGTACCACCCTATAATAATAATAATAATAAATAACATTCTTGTGCAGGGGTCATACATTGTTATGTAACCAAGACTAAAAATTCCTTAAATTTTATATTATTTTGCTAATTTTGATTAAAGTTACGGAGCGTTTATTATTTTTACGGTGCAAAATATTATATTATACTGACCATTTTAATTTTTTTACTGTGCAAAAATTAATTAAATTCTGATCATTTATCATTTTATACTGATCAAAATTGAATTATTTACTGAGCGCTTTATTACTACCCATTTCAAATCATTTTTTCTATTCTTAATAGGTAATATCGTAAACGCTACGCTAAATAGAAATTATGCATAATATAATTGAGCTAAAGTTATTGATTTATCAAATCAGTGGCGGGTTTAAACCTAGTAGAGGCAATTGTCTTCGTTCGTTTTTCGGATTCCCAGAAATCACTTGAACCAAACATCTTATGTAAAATCGTCTGTGCAAACCGTTTTTTCTATTTAAAAAAATCGCAAAACTATAAACTTTCTAACCGAAACTAATATAACTCTAATTTATTACAGTTTTTCTAACTAAAATTTTGAAAAAATCAGAAATAATCAAACACTTGAAAATTGAACCAGATAACGTTTTTTGAATTCCTAAGGGTCCTAAGCTGTTGATAAAGTAAAAACGTTGCTATAAGTAATATTAAAAAAAAATCTACATTGTATACGGGGTGTTTACAGTCTTGAGGTTGAAATTTCTAGGATAGAAAAAAAAAACTAATACGCTATAAAATAAAAAATTACGTTTAATTCGTTTGATATATATATTTATTATTTATTTGAGAACTATTGCTTCGACTAACAATGTCATTGGTGCCTTGTGCTTCACCGTAAATTATAATTACGACAACCAATTTATTATTTTAATATTGGCATTCCATGTTCATAAATTTGGAAAAAATCAAAACAAGTATTAGGTAAACCTTTGGTTGGAAGTGCAGAAGATCTTCGACTTTTGATAAAAATTAAAGCAAAATCAAATCATATGAGGACGATGTCAAAACTGTAGAGTGACTTTTCTCTTTCATTATTGCCCTGTACAAAATTAAAGTTCTAGTGTTTATTTTATTTTCATCAATAAATTTTAAAAAGTGGTATGTTTGTTAGATCATCTGTTTACGAAATACGTGTATTTGTTGTTCCAGATTTCAGATTGTTTATTGTTGTTTTGTGGTGACGGAAACCGCTACGCCACTGCACGGAATCGATCTCAATTGACTTTTCAATTAGAGTTAAAGGGTAAAGATCAACGAACAAAATCTAGTATTAATTGATTTTACGGTTCGAAAAAAAACACAAAATTTTCAAAAATGTTTTATTTGAGACATGTTGGTTTCAGTCATGTTTATAAATAAAATAACTACTTACTAAACAAGAACACTTTTCTATGTAGCTATCGCAAAGATTGAATTATACTACTTACACATAAGTCTAAAATCTAAAAAAATAACTATTCGCTATTCTTTGGGTACATTGAAACTTGTAAAATGCTGTACAACGGGTAATCTCAATACTCGAAGTTAAGTTAATATTGTGACGAAGGAGAATGTTGATGATGATGGTACGAATTTGACGTAGAGTTTCCTGTAGTGGTTAGGAGTTGGTTCGTCGAGGGGGGCGGTCTCCCCTCCACCGGCCCGGCATTCCTGGTGACATAACTGGCTGCATTTCCGGCTTTATTTTGGAAACTCGAAGTGTTGGAATGATACGTATTGTTCCTAGGTGTTGGTCCATGATACGACCCGTAACTCGAATCATCTGACTGGGCTGACTGCCCTCTTCGCTGCAAACTCATAATCCCATACATCGACTCCGGCCTGTTTACCTTCGAATTCTTTTTATTTTCTTCACTATTCGGTGCATTACTTTTACTAGGATAAGCGTTTTTGTCAGTTTCTGACCTCGAGAGACTCCCCGGAGGGTTTCCTCTCATCCCATACACACTTTCGGATCGTTGTTGTAGCTGATTTTGCAAGTTTTGGTTATGAACATGAGTTTGTTGGTTCAGTTTTATTGAATACAGTGACTGTGTGGGGACCAACGGACCAGGTTTTGGGAGAATATCACGAGGTCCACCACTGTTTTTCGTATAAACTGACTGGGAACGATTTAAATTCGCTCTAGTGAGTGGAGGTGATTTACAATACAGCGACCTTGTCCCTCCATAGAGAGATTCAACCCGTTCTAATTTTGTAGCAGGTGTTGAATATAGACTAGCTGATGTTAAACTCGGACAATAACCGGTAGCTCCATTGGTCGTCCCAGCTCTATAAGAAGTGTACGTTGATTCCTGGTATTTCGGAGCATTAGGTTTATCTAAATCATCATAAGTGTCTTCATCTGACTGGATACTGGACGAATCACCATCACTTGAACTGCTTTGACGTTTAGAACGTTTGGAATTGAAAATATATTCGTGAATTAACCCAGCTGCAACGCCTCCAATTATGGGCCCTAGCCAATAAACCCAATGATTATCCCACTTTTTCAACACAAACGACGGGCCAAGCGAGCGGGCAGGATTCAGATGCGGCATCTAAAAAATAAAATAACATCTTCAAAAACTTTCATTTCACGCTAGCGTGTGAAGTAAAGTTCGTTCTTTAACTTTATGCGCGTGGATCAATTAATAATTCGAAAGGCGTACCAAACCGCTATCTCTTTTCAACATTTGTAAAGAGGCTTGTTGCTCTCTCCCTACGTATTTGCGTAAGGTCGGTCACGCTATTTATCTCACTTTAACGAACGCAATTAAAGTAACATAGGACTAGTGACGTACGTCAAAAGTGTGTCTTACCGTCACGTAATTTCATTTTTAATAGGGTTAATATTTATACTCTTTATACAGGCTGTATTATAACAAAACGCCCCAAACCATAATTTCATTACTTTTAAAGACGTTATAACACTCTTTTGCTCAAAGTTGAACAGCGTTTGCTTGTCTTAGATAAAATAAATAGAAATGTTATATTCTTTCCACTTTATTTAACTTAATTTTAAAATTATCTAAAACCAAAAGTTAGTAATAAATCATAGTAAGGGAACTTGTTAATAAAGAATCCAAAAATAATAAAATATACAGTGTTACATTTAAAAACTTAAATTAATGTCACTTCCGGTAAAACAGGAAGCAGCATTGATTGAGCATCTATGCCAAACAATAGATGACAAGAAACTGTTCAACTTTGTTCCAAGAAATATTGTCATATCTTTAAAAATAATGGAGTTAAGGCTTGAGGCGTTTTTTATAATACAGCCTGTATCATCATAACAATCGTAATTCAAGCCTTACAAAAATCACATTGTCACGGAGAAGCTTTAATTTTTGACTTTAGTACCAAAGTGTCAAAAGCTGTCAAATGTCAAAGACAGACGAAGGCTATGTCGTGTTCTTGATTCACCCTACCCCCACCAGCAATTCAAAAAAATAATAAACTGTACACTAAGTTCATCTTTTTAAAAAATTTAATTAGATCTTTTAGACGCAGAATTAAAAAAAATCAATGATCTGTTATACTCACCGGCGATACGAAAGAGCAAGCAGAATAAGTCGCCCCGATCGTAATTGCGGACATCCCCATCCATCTTCTTTGGGCATCCATTGAGACAAAGTAGGCCAAAACGACCACAAATGTTAGAATAAATTCGTTACCGAATTTCTCCCACGGCCCATCTTTCATCGGTGGAGACATGGGGAGATCTTCATGATTTCGAGGAATGGATACTCTGAAAAGAAAAGTTGAATTTTTAATAATCGTCGGCGGAAAATTCCAATATCTCGACTCATTTCGCGGGATTTGGTCCTTTTCATGTTCAGCTCAACGCAATCACACAGTTATTAATGTTTTCATTTGAAGAACACAAAAAGTGGTCCATGTGTTTAACATATGTTTAAGAAAAAATCGGCTCAAGTATAATTATGGTTTATTTTTGTGCGTTAACAAGTGTTCAAAAATGTCAACCCCAAATAAAGCATCGGCATCCCTACGGTGGTGGAGATAAAAATGGAAAGGAAATACCGAGTAATGGTAAAAAAAATGCCAGGTGGTTGAAACTCGAAGGGACACGTGCTGCAAGCTGAAGAACCTCAGTCTTTGAACAAAGACGGCTTGTATAACAGGAAGAGAGACAACAATGCTGCGAAGCTTTCGAAGTTTCGAACATCGGACTTTTGAGGAGTTGAGAAATAAATGCAAAGGAAGTATGCTTGACAACTGTGTAATTTAATTAAATGTTCGATATATAGATACGGCTTATTGAACACACGATCCCCTAAAAAACTCATCAACAATGAGTAAATCCCACGAGAGTGCAGAACAAGTGCAGACTTATTTATAATATACGATTGGGGTTAACGAACAATAATCACGCCGTTGTATGCGAATTAAAGTATATTGTCACACTTCAACTAACCAAATGCGGTTTTAGGAAGGGTCACATTGAATCTTCGTAATTGTTGCCGCATGTTAGTCTGTGATCCCCCTTTCAATGAGAAATCTATTTCGGTTTCGAGCGGCTAGTGTAACATTAGACCGTTTACCTGAACTTACGATTTACCTGCGATCAGGTCAAAATTTAAGGCAACGGCAGCTGCCGACTCACAAATTACATTCCAACGTCGAACAATGTTCACAGTTTTCATATTAATAAAGAATTAAATTCGATAACTTTGTGTTACAAAATTTCAGAATCAATCATTGAGTATGCATTTGTGGGTGCGCTTATCCTATAGAAAGAATGCTAAGCAACAGCTGAAAAAGGCAGGTGATACTCGACTGTCTTGACAGATGGTTGGGTAGGTATTCAGACGTGAACCTTCAAGCTACACAATCCGCTATATCTTCCGAAAGATAATTTCGGTCGAAAGGGACAAAAATACAACAACAGAGACGGAAGCAGTAATTTGGCTCAGTAATGTTTTTTCTTTTATTTCTTTGTAAATGAGAAATTTCAAACACTTACCCGTAGAGAAAAGCGGCGCCGGCTATAGCACCCCCACATTGTGCTATAATAAACATTGTTGTCCTCAACAGAGAAATATTCTTCGTAATGCCCATAGCTATAGTTACAGCCGGGTTTATGTGCGCCCCTGAAACAAAGTTTATTTATTTTAATTATGGTCAATTCTTGAACGAATTGCATTTAATTGACGGAATGTTTGTAGTACTTAATTGACGTATTAATTTACTTTACTTACCAGATATGTGTCCGAAGCACTGTGTTAATGATACCATTGCGAAGCCAGCTGCTAGTGCTGTTGAAAGAATTCCCAAAGAAGTAGTTGCCGAACCTCCATCGAAAGCACCTGCTTTTGCACCACACACAACAAACACATAAACAAAAGAAGCTATACACTCGGAGATCACTGATCTCCAAAATTCTAAAGTGCGAATTTCAACTTTAATTGATATTTTTGAAGTGAATTGCGAATTTGGTTTATCATTTCTTAAAGCTTCCAATTTTTCGAAAAGTGTCACTATATGGTAGTCAATACTTGGTTCACTAGATAAATTAACACGTTCCTCTGCCATACTTGAAATATTGCACTAAGTGTTCATTTTTGGAAAAAGGGACAAATTGTTAAATTAAAAAACGGTGCCGATGGGCCGACGGGACATTTCCGAAGAAACTCCTCTTCGCACATTGCAGTCGACGGACCACATGGTGACTTCCCCCTCTCAGGATCATCACCAATAACAAATGGATTCGCCATCCCTTCCCCACGCGGGACCCCATTTCAATTTCACAGCTTTTGCGGACATTGATGACACTGACTACGCATTTTATCATATTATCACTGTTATCATACACTACTGTAACTGTAGAATGTAAAACACATGTAGACACATTTTTCAAATTTTTAATAAAATAAAAAGTTCAATAATTGCAACAATAATAAACAAATAAATTACTTCAAATAATTTTTATATATTAGTATATTTTATAATATAGAAATAACGAATGAATCGCGTTTATTTTCTGCCCCTTTGGAAATAAAATCAAAGAATGAATGGAGCTGCATTGAAAAGAAGTCGTAGGCAACCAGCAATAGTAAAAGGAAGAAGAAAGGTATGTGGGAGAAATCTTGAAATTTAATTTCAATGCCAATCTGAAATGTACTAAAATTATTTACACCTAACACATTTCTTTTTTGTGTGTAGATATGGTGCTTTAAATGCTCACTGTTAAAACAGTTAAAAGAATAATTTGGACGCAACTTAAGAATAAAATAATTGTAATTGGGAAAAAAACCTGTTCTTTGTTGATTTTACTTCGTATCAGTCACAATCAAGCGACGTAAATACACAGTTATAGATAAAAATATGTCGAAACTTTTGTTATCGAGATAATATCTAATGAGAGTATGAGTAATGGGTACGGTGTTGAAAAGTCGGGCGTGTCCTTATTAAATGAGTAATTCACTTATTAAGAGAATAATTCGTTAGAATTTCATTCACTTAGTCGGTAAAACTGATAAGAAATTTTCTCCGGAGTTCGTGATCTTCCCATTCCTGAGTTAAATGTGACGTCGCACAGGTGTTTTGCGCCCACCTGTATTCAGTGTTGTTACTCCACGGTAATATGGCGGTTATAGACCACCTGAAGTTCAAATTATTTATATTTTTGTGTAGTGAATTTACTTGTTGTGTTGTACTTGGACAATATAGACCAAATAATGTGTATGGTCAACACGACGACCGAAATCAGTTCAGTCAGTACAACAACCCGTACCATACACCAAACCCTGGCGACAGGGATTACAGAACATACGTCTACAAGGGGAGACGTTACGGGCAACAGAACAATTTTTATAACAACAGGTGGCGTCCTGGAGACCCCAGAATACAGGGCCAGGATGAACACTTCTTCTACGATCAAGTATTTTGCAACAATTTTAATTAGTCACAATTTTATTCGTTGTTTGTAGCAAGGGAATGGTGAACCAATTTTACCAGGAGTACTGGGTGGTTGGCGCACCGATTTGCAAGGGAAATTCCGGTCACAGACAAAAGACAGAAAAAGGGACATTTTCGTGACAACCACTCATGGACAAGTCCAGGGTTTTTTGGTATATCTCTTTGATAATCCAGACCCGGAGTCGCTCTATAGACCCGGATCTGAATTTATAGAGCGGGAATATGGCGCAACTGAAGTTTATTTGGGCATACCTTATGCCGAACCTCCAATTCTGGAAGGCCGATTTAAGGTGTGTATCTATATTCACAATTTGGAAATATTTTATCAGTTGATTTAAAGCCTCCCAGATGGCACAAAGGCTGGCAATTGTTACAAGCAGTTGATTTTGGGCCTGCGTGCCCACAACCTGCTCGATATGTTGGAGCCACTAAAGGTGTAAGAGACATGGATGAAGACTGTTTATACCTCAATGTGTACAAGCCTCCAGTGAGTAAACTACAAAAGTTTTTTTTTTTTTCATTACACTGTTTCCTTTCAAGACTAGTGAAGAAGGAGTCGGGAAAAGATATCCAATAATGGTGTACATCCACGGTGGTGATTTTGTTAGAGGTGCTTCTAATACATTCCCAGGACACATTATGGCCACTTTTTACGAAGTAATAGTCGTCACTATTAACTACCGTTTGGGTGCCTTGGGATTTATAAGCACTGGTGATGTTAATTCACCAGGAAACTACGGAATTCTGGACCAAGCCATGGCTTTGAAGTGGATTTATGAAAACGCAGAAAGTTTCAATGGCGACAGATACAGTATTACGTTATTTGGGCCTGGTGCTGGAGCCGCCTCAGCCGGCCTCCTCATGGTAGCGCCCCAAACCAAAGACATGGTCTCGAAAGTGATAGCTCAAGTAATTTTTTCAACAATTTTTGTTCTATTGCGTTACAGTTTTCTGTAATTGTAGAGCGGCTCAGCCTTGGCTGATTGGACCCTAATTGTCGATAAATACCGTGCCCAGAATACCAGTAGAGTTTTTGGGAAACTTATAGGGTGCAGTATTGAGTCTTCATGGAAACTGATGAATTGTCTCAAACAAGGGCGGAGTTTTTACGAAATAGGTAACTCGGAGTTTCCTCCCGAAGTTGGTCTTTTTCCTTGGGCACCAGTAATAGAAATGAATGTCTCAATGCCTTTCTATGAAGGGTGGCAAGAAAGTGATTGGCATTTTCTCAAAGAAACGCCTGAAGAACTGATTAAAAAAAGACACTTTAATAAGTATTTAAAATACATGTCCGGGATTACTCTTCAAGAGGCAGCAACGTTTATTAGTACGTATCACACAATTACAAATAATCATTTGATAAACAAATTTCAGCTTCAAATAAGTCACTCGAGCCTAATTTTATTATCGACCAAGAATTTTTCGACCAAAAAGTAAAAGAACTTGTGCTACGTTACAACTACACTTTAAATCCTAATGGCACTTATGAGGCTATTAAATATATGTATACATACTGGCCTGATCCTAACAACAAAACACACATACGTGATAAATATATACAGGTAATTAATATTAAAAATTGTAAATATTACAATTGTATAAAAAAATTGTAGATGCTCTCTGATTTTCTCTATACCGCACCAAATGACAAAATTGCGAAGCTACTAGTAGAACAAGGGGTTGAAGTCTACATGTATGTTTTAAACACCACAATTGAATCATTTAAATTAGAAGAATGGCGAAAGGTTCCTCATGACATTGAGCATTATTTGTTGTGTGGAGCGCCGTTTATGGACACCGAATTTTTCCCTGAGGGTTTCACACGGACCCAATGGACGAACAACGACAGAAACATGAGCCATTTTTTCATGCAAGCTTACACGAATTTCGCAAAGTATGGTAACCCAACGTACACTCAAATCCTCGGCATACATTTCGAAGTTGCCAAACATGGAGAACTCAAATATCTTAATTTAAACACAACATACAATTCGTCAATTATGTGGAATTTTAGACAAACCCAGTCAGCGTTTTGGTCCCAATATTTGCCCACAGTTGTGGGCCATTTGGTCCCGACTTACCCGCCCACCACTGAGGTACAAACAAAAGTCTGAAAATATGAAACTGAAATTTTTTTTTAGTATTGGTGGGAGCCACGAGCGCCTTTACAAATCGCATTTTGGAGTATGTCAGCTGCTTGTCTCCTTCTTGTAGTGCTTCTTGTTGTGTGTTGTATGCTTTGGCGAAATGCGAAAAGGTGAGTCGAATTATTTACCAATAAAAGACTTGTATTATGTGTTTATAAAGGCAATCAGATCGTTACATCTACGACCCTGATCCCGACGAAGGAGTTGACAATACAAGACTTACAAGCGCCTATGATTATGCCGACAAATTGCGAACACCAATCAGTGTTCCACCTAGAACAAACAGTGCTTCCACGTTTCGAACTGAAAGTGCGGTGTCACTAAAAGAAACACAAGGTTTTGTGAGTAGCAGTCCAAGTGAAGATTATCCAAGAAAAGGCACTCCTGTGCTGTCCCATAGACAAAAAAGCAAAACAGAATTGTCGCAAGGGGTGCCACAGACTGATGTTTGAATGAAGTTTTGCGCCATCTAGAACCAGTTTCAAGACCCAATGTGTTCTTTCATAAAAGACTAATAAATGAGTACATATAATAGAGTAAGCTTTCCGTCCATGATGTTCAATTGTTAATGACACTTAAAGTTTTATGTATACGTATTTTTATATAGCCAAGTAACACTTACTTAATAAATTAAGTATAAACCTACTTGTAAGACAATATATTTCAGCAATTGAAACAAATAAAAAACAAAACGTTTTTATGATTGTACCAAAGAAAAATGAACAATAAATCGGAAAAGAATACCACAAACAAACAGCTTATTTTGTAACAAAAATTGTAGATCTCGTAATAGTTTCAATAAAGTTTTATAATGTTTTGTAATATTTTTCTCTTTTTTTTTTCTTCTAAAAAGATCAAGTACCGAAAAGAACCCAACAAACCACAAACATATAGTTTGCAATTATTGTAATGAACATATAAAATATGTATGTGGTAAACACAAGTTCATCGGCTGTTGCACATGATGCCTCTTGTTATTATGAAAGGCATCGCTACATAATATTAAAAAGTGTTCAGTGTAAAACCATTCGCGCAAGCATGCGGTACTCTTCAAAACGGTGGCACCGCAACCATAATTAATGTGATATTAAAATGTGTATTAGTTTCGGTGACGTTAGTGACTGATTGTGATAAAAATGTTTTTAAGAATTGTTCTTTGTTAGTGAAAAGTGTGCGATTTTTCCAAGATGATTACTCTATATAAAACCATCAAGGGTACCGCCAAACACAAAAGGAAAAGGGAAAATAAAGGGTAAACTTTTTCAATTTTTTTTTAATATTCTTATAAATGGTATTCAAAAATCGCCACTGAAAAATAAGAAAGTGTGTATATATAAGCAACATGCGTTAAGCAATCAATTAATTAAATCATTTTTGTTGCGATATTTGCGATTTTGCACTAGTAAAAATGTATTGTGATGTTTTTAGCAAAAGCAGTACGCTCATTTAAGGTGTATTACTTGAATTCCACAGTCGCGACATTTAAATGTGAAGGTAGACGATCAACTCATCGATTTGAATGTTGGATCATTTTTGCATGCCATTACATAAGTACGATAAAATTTCGTTAAATCACAAAATATAAATACGTATCTTCACATATAATTAAGATTCATGTATTTTGATAAATAATAACTAATTCTTTTCAATGCTACATAAATACCGCATAATAATTACAGGTATACATAGATAACAGTCGCGAGTCCAGTTAGAAATCATAGGAGCTTTACGACCTAGAAATATTAACATTAATTAACAATTCCGACAAACTGTACTAATTTATGTTATTGTAACCAGACACACGCACGGTGTTTTAATAAATATTAAATATTTGAAGGTTTTTTTCGTAAAATTATAAAGTTAAGTAACTCACTTCATAAACATAACTTTGAACAGTTACGATTTCGTCAAGCTCATTACAAGATTTCTTCCCAATATTAAAATATTTAACACAGAGTGCCAATTTTAATTTTTGTAGCCATGATTCAGAAATTTATTTTAAATAGACAATGTGGTTCAATCATTTTAAAAATTTGACACAGGAAACGTGACTTGAATAATTTATTTTATTTGATTTTCAAATATTTCAAATTATTTGCTGCAAAATCCTTCTTCCTATGGGAAAACTTAATCCAAAAAAGACATCATTTATGCCAATGTTTATTCATAAAAATGTTACTTTATATAGTTTTTTTTTTCACATTTGTTTCAAGTATTAAAATTTGACCACGTGGCAGGTCATACTCATATGAAGCAAGATGTACGTTTATCACACCATCGATATTTTTTCTTTCTTAAAGCTATTGCCTCAATATTTATATGTAACAATGTGGCGAATGGAAATATGTAGGTATCAAAATTAGTTTCACTACATATCTTCGTTAACTAGTCTTGTTCAGAAAGCGAGTCATTTTTTGTGATTACATTCTTTATTCATCGTAATTAGAACAAAATTTAAACAGACAAACTCTGTTCAAAAGCAGCTGACGTATTCACGTATTTTTAATAAAGATTTGACTTACTCGCTGTACTCTTGTTAAATAACAGATTTGATTAAATCTAAAATTACAGCTGTATGATATCAAATTAAATTAATTCCATATTAATTGAGAATTGTAATTGCATCCTTTACTACGCCTGATGTGTCTTAAAAATGTGCATATAAATAGTCAATGCACTTTGTCAATTTGTCCTAATCGAAAACTCGTTTCGAAGATATTGTATATATCATGATGCAAAAAAAGTACTTGAGTTCTTTATGTAGGTAGGTGCATAGCATTGACCTCAGGTATTTTTAACCACGTCTTACGTGCATTTTTCAGCATAAAAACACGTGCAAAGATTTATCATTTTATTGTTTTTTTACAAGTCGGGTGTAAAATAATTTCGAACATGAAATATTCACACTCACCACTGATAAAAAATGTTGATTATAATTCACTTTTAAACATAAATAATAAATTGTAGTAGATATGTGAATATGGCAAGTAGACTTAAGTCACACAATCATACAAAGGGGTAGATACTGTAATTCTGGATGAGTAGATCTGTAGATAAAAGACGCAAAGGTGATATACCTGCCTGGGGTATAAAGTGGGTATGCATCTAGATTGCATGGTGTTGCTTTTGACATCGCCCGCGAGATGTCTATACAAATTTAATAAAGAGGAAAAAGAAAGTAGCTTGATTGCCACTTACCTTGGAAACAGTTAGAGCAGGGAGAGATAGGGGCTAACCCACTTACTTATGACGTCATAATGAGCTTAACGTCAGACGAGTATGCGCACGCCGCTGTCGAAAGCGCGCTCTAAACCGAATGTTTCCTTCATTCTATTCTTTGGTAGATGTGTGCTGTAGCACCGCGACGGTTTTATATACTTAATTCGTCGCGTGTGACAAGATTTGTGCCCGAAATGGATTTATTTCAGAAATTTTGCTAGTGTAGTGATTCTCTAGTTCCTATTTCTATCTTTGGATTACTTTTTCTCCGTACACGCCCTTTAGTTTTTGGTGAGTAATTCTGAAACTGGCAGCATCAAACTTGACAATATCACACCAGAAAGTACAATAGATCATATGGCACTTTCTTATTTTTCTACCGACTTTGGCATAAAGATTTATTGTTTAACAGTGTTTTCGTTTCGGGTTACTCATCCAAATGCCAAGGAATACGCCAAAGAAATGTTATTCGGAGGCGCTTATTGAATTTTAAATATGACTTGTGATTCATAGGCTTTTCAAAGTTATATGAACTTTGGTTGGCATAAGAATTCGTCATTTAGCACCAATTAAGAAAAATATCGGGTATCTCTTCTCATCGCACATTGAAATCTCCGAAAAATCTCACCAAAATACAGTCATTTTCTACATAAATTTTGTTCAAATGCAAGTCAGTCGCTTAATAAACTACAAAAACAGACGGATATTTCAAAATAATTACGTTTTGTGTATAAACATGAGGCTGGAAGCAGTATCCTTAGCCTAGTAAATGAAAAATGTCAAAATAAGTGTATTTATACAGTTTGAGGCTCAAATTGATATAAAGTCATTTAGGCGCACTAAAATTGTTGTATTTCATGTACAGCGGAACATCTCACATACAATCAATGTGAAAATGATTTGGTACCCATGATGGTTACTAAATGAGAAATACAATTCGCCGTTAAATTAACAGCATTATACAGGAACATTTGTATAGAGCGTAACTTGTCTGTTCCACTATATATCTAACAAGGCTAGCTGAAGTTTCACTCGTTTCACCAACTCTCTCGTCAAGAAATATACAATATATTATGATGTCTATCTTATACTTTCAAACATGTGATAGCCTGATCAAATTTTGATTAGAGCGTATCTATTGATCCTCACGAATTATTTGGTACAATATGTTGCTATTTTATTGATATTATTGCATCACAGCTGAGTATAAGAACCACTTTTGTAAACCAGTGAAGTATACGCTGGACCACTTTCACCGTTCTAAATTACTCCACATGATATATCTCATGTTCACATTCTTACACGGTTTAAAGCAGTGTTTTTGCACATTTTTACGACAAAAATGCTTTCGTGTTGCTATCCTACTTAGAAGTAGTATAGTCAAATTATTAAACTAGGACTATGAGTAGTTTCCAGCAACTTTGTTTTCTTTGAAATTGCACAATGAGCAACACTATACGGTTTTATGGAAATGCTAAACTGTCTTAATGTTGGTACCACTGGATGGTAAAACGTGCCGCACTTCTAAGAACTCGAAGATTATTTGTCTGTGTCATGTGTACCTTTTTCACAGTAACTTTTCTTAAAAACACCAGGTGCGAACAACTCACGTAGTATCACAAGATTGTTAGCAATTTCACAAGCATCAAAAGCAAAAATTTCACTTAAAATGTTTGATTTACGGTGCAAACAAAAATTTCCGATGTAGCTTAAAAAACGACTCACGACTTTTAAGGTAAATTGAAACTTTTTTATACATTCATCCTAACGTAATTTTTCTTCAGTTCATGACAAAAATAACGCGGCGTGTAGTATTAATTAAATTTAGGTTTGGTGCAATTTAAACATGAAACTGTATTTTTTACAGATTAACTTTAGCTTTGCCTTTACCTGAAACACCTGAAATGGTTTCTCGTCGTCGCATTCTTTCAAGATCTCGAGATGATTTGCACATGGATTCCACTTTCCAACCCCCAGAAGACGAAGAAGATGTTTGGTATCAAAAAGACAAGCTTTATAAGGTAAGGTTTTTTTGGCAACAAACAAATTGAATTAATTAATTCTCCACCAAAAGTTTAGTAGTCAGTTTTTTAGTAGCCATAGATTATGTAATTTAATTTTACATTCGAGTAAGCTGATTTCCTCTAAAGCCATACATAAATTCAAGCTTAACGGGTTCCAGTACGCCCAAACATTTCGTATTTTGGGAAGACCACCTTCTCGTTAATTCAATTTTATTAGGGTAAACTCTACTAGCGAGTTTATTGAACTCAATAGAAAATTTTATAATAGCCAATTATTGTGAAGCTTGATAAAATTAATGGATTTTTGAACGCCTTCTTTGCAATTATGAGCGCTTCTCACCTCATCTTTGTTAAAAAATTAAAATAAAAAATACTCGTTATATTTAACAAAAGGATGAAATAATTACTTTGAAAAATTTTAAGGGTGTTTTGCTCTTTCATTCTAAATTTAATTTTGGTTGCTTTCAAGAACCGGTCACAGGTTCGTCATCTTAGCTGAATCACCCTGTACTTAATAGGCGGAATATCCAAAGGCACGAGCTAATAAAATGCGACAACAGTTAACTCTGTATGTAAAACAAATAGTGGGCGTGCGTATTAGGTACATTATAGTGTAAGTAGAAAGTTACACACTTAACTGATCAAGTAGTTTGATTTTTTGTATTGAAAAAATTACGACTAATTGAAAATCAAATCGAATGGTAATTTCTGTCGCAAGTCTATTCCCAAATTTTACATTTACACGGTGCTCTCATTATAAATTTAGTATATGTTCCTACTTGTACAAGCTGGACAACGATCTTGACATTTGCGGAGACCCTGACGACCGGCCAAACAACTTTCACAGGCCGTCGTATTATTTAAAACAAATATTTTGATTCTCTAAGATATTCATTCAAATGCTTGAAGTGATCTTCCCTAATGTCTCACTTCGAGCTAAATCACATTTTGTTAAAAAGTATCGGATTTATTCTTACTTCTACTCTATGATTAATTCGGAAATTTAATAAACCTCACACTTTACAAGGATTTTAAATGTCAACTTTCTCTGAAATTCTATGCATGACGATCTAATGACATTTTGCAATTAAACAAACCGACTGTTCAATATTAATATTTGATAGAAACAAATAAGTGAGGAGGCAAGATAAAGCGTGTCAAATTAAATTATCTGTTGATAGTTTTTACGCGAGATACAGTTAATAAGGTAATTACATAGGGTCCTTAACGTGCAACAGATTGCTTAGTGTTGCTATGCTACGTAACCAACGTTATTACACCTTACGGCATTTTAGCCGTTACTGTAACGTCCTTGTAACAAACTATACATTCACGTTCAAATATTTTCCAGCATACCTTTGTCCGTGCGACAAATACGTTTGATAATTTCATGTCAGTAAATGGTTTTAAACGTTTCTATTTGACTCGTCTGATCTAAGTCCCATGTGAATTTTACCTAATTTTATTATGCGCGAATATTTCATAATGATCTGTGAATATACTATTTAAAACATTTGCATCACATTATGCAATTCCCCAATGTCCTGATGCAATGACATGTTACACTATCTACAGATTCTGCATCTATTGGCGTTTGTGTGTCATTTTAAGCGAATTGGAAAGACATTTCATTTCTGCGTCCTTCGTTACACACCCATTATTTAAAGGAGTGTGACAATTTATTGACTAAACTGAATAAATTGCCGGATTTTGAGATAATATCAAACTTTGGATATTTCTAACTGCTCAACCGCAGACATTTTTTAGATTACAAAGAACTCGCGTTTCACTCATTTTTGGATCTACTATATTGTAACAAGGTCGAGGTAACCATCTAGAACCGTTTTCTAATAGTGATTGGGTGTGTTAAAGGTTTTTATATTTCTTTGAACAGCTTACAATAAAGTAGTATACCATACAAATAGTCACTAGTAGGTTAAAAGTTTTCTAAATTTAGATGATATTTTAAATTTTTCTATGAAACGACTTTCAGTATGTGATATTTGACTTAAATTTAAATAAACGCAGTTTCTCTATACTTTCACTAAACTTATTATTGTTTTACAGCATTTTAATTAAATTAAACAAATGTAGTAAAACCGCAAGTCTGTTTTACTTCTTATTAATCAACTACCACTACTGGTGATGTTAATTGCAAATGAAAGTCGTGATAAAAAAAATTTGTTCTACTAATTTGTCCAAAAAATTTAATACAGCATTTAAATTTCTAAGCCATAGTCATTTTAATAAATAATAAATTATGGCTAACCTTAAAGTAGGACAACGTTGTATAACTTTATTCAACTTGTGCAACAATTTATTGAACTATATCCCTTTCCAATTTGATCAAACTTTTACTCTTAAGTATATTAGCTGAAATTGTGATATGAATGCTCTTTTCAGGATCACATTCAAGAAGTTCTCGATAAATGGACTCAGATAGATGATGAAATTTGGGCCAAAGTGATTGTTTTAGAACGAAACCGAAGAGTCGCAAAGGCATATGCCCGAGCCCCGGTTTTGACAGTAAATGGATCCGATGATGGATTTGATGGTTTTCGGTAAGTTTTACATTTACGTTTCATTGTGAGAGGCTGAGAGGGCGAACGTATTGCAGAACAGTTGTTACATATGTAATAGGTACACAAAAGCCTTTCTAATAGGGTGACCTACACTGTAATCAAGTTTCGAAGTGCGCTAGAAAATTAATAAAAGTTTGCTTTGACTTAATACAAAATCAATTTAGACGTGTAATGAGTAGAATTTTGGGCAAACGATATTTTTAATTAAACTGGGTGACCTTCATTTAATGCAGTTATAATTATTGAAAGTATGTATTATATATCACATTGTTTACGTCTTCACACTTCATGTATATTAAATAAATAACGGTAGTCAATAGCAGGAAATTCTCCATGCATTGCGACTTTGTCAACCGATCTAATTAATCTATTAGTTAATAAATTTCTGATAAGTTCATTATTTGTACCCAACAGCGCGACATTTTTTCAGAAAACTAAAAATTTCCAATTTGTCAAGCAATGTTATTTTAGGATAAACCAACTGAGTTCGCTGGCCAAAGACGCCTTTGCAATTACACAAGGTCGTCTAGTCTGGGCAACGCAGATATTTTTACTAAATCTTGCCTATATAATAAGAATAAATTGTGAAACGGCAAAAACTTAAATACCACAAACATTAAATAATTCCTAATATCTTCGAATTGAATAATACTTTTTTACTCTGACCTTTTCACAGTTAAAACAACTAGTATTAATTACAATGTGGAATTGTTGTTCGGCATAACCGGATATTTTATTTAAAACTAATCGACGGTCACTACGCATGCTTACTGGAAAATTTTTCTAATCAAGAATTTGTCAACTAAGCAAAAACTAATCACATATTTGAAAATTTTGAAAATATTTGTACGGTTTAGGATTAACATTATCTTAGTCTGAACTAAATTGTGTGTACCGTTTAGAAACACAAAACAACAAAATACGTTTAATTTTTTTTTTATTTCCATGGGAAAAAAATTGACTTTATTTTTCTAGGATTGGTTTGTGTGGCTTTGACAACCCAATGAGAGACCAAAAAACGGAGGAATTCAAAAGACACATAGGCCATGTACGTATTTGTAGCCGCTTTTGTGTTAATTGTACGAATGTTTTTTTCAGGGGGTTAAAATAAAAATGGACGATGCGGGAAATATTCTAATAAAACGGGTATCAAAATGTAACGTTTACATAAAAAATACGGGCCAAGACGACGAAAATGCGATAGGAAATGAAATTTTGAAATTACCTAATTGTGCTTTAGAGCCGGAAAAGCCTGTAAAGGTAAAAAACCCGCAAATTTTTGTTGCGTAAAAGTCAAAAATGTAATTCCAGCTGTTCGATATGAAGAAATTTCAGTCAAATGTAAATCGTGAATTACGGCGTGCCTACCCTGATCGTCGAAGATTAGAATGTCAGTGCTTGAGTGCAATAGCTTTTGTAAAATCGGAACCTGAGTTACTGGAATGCCCTATTTGGGTTCTCATTATAAACGTCGTCGCCATGGACATGCTAAAATCGAAACTTCCTCCAGGTACGCCTACGCCTACGCCTTTCGAGTAATCTGTTCGATTAGCTGGCACTACCAAAAAAGCCGCTTTTCAAAAATTCTTCTGTCGGATTATCAACGTGTGTGTGTATTTAATTTCAGTACAACGGGTAATGGACATCAAGAACAGACCACGCATTCCAATTCCAGATGAAGATCCCTACAGCGTTGCAGGTAACGGTAGCGGATCGTCGGGTAGTTCAGGTTTCGCGGGGGCGGGTAGTGTGGCAGCCACTAGAGAACAACTCCTTTTGCAGAGCCAACAACACGCACAGCGACGGAGCGAAAAACCACCTAAACTACCACCCCGCGAAAATATGTATCCCCATGACATACCTAAGGTCGGTCTTTGTTTATTTTTGCACCAACAAGCTTTGCACGCCTACAATCATAATAAACACATAAATTTCTAAGCCGTAATAGAATCCACATCATGACCGTTACCGGCGAGATGCTATCAGATTTAATTATTGCCCACCAACTGCCACACGTCACACTGATTTGTCTTAGAATTATCAAAATTTCCTTATAATACACTTCTTCGACAATAAATAATAATTAGAAATTTTAAAATACCTACATTAAATAATTTTTTGTAACGACTCACGGTCTACTAACCAATCTAATTATTTGTTAAAAATGCTGTAATTACGAAATATATCTATGTACATTAAATACAAATCCTTTCTTCTGAGAGAAAGTTTCAAGTTTCTATGTATTTTTTGTGCAGCCCGATTATGACGACCACGAGCACGACAACAGCCGTCTGAAGCCATTCCCGTCTTCTCGAGGGAAGGAAAAATCAAAAGACAATAAAAAATACGGTATGTTGGAAGTCCGTGTTTTGGTTGCTCTAATTATTATTTATAGATGACCCCTATTATTGTGGATTAAGGGCACGTGTTCCGAATTTTGTTGCAAAATCTAAAGCGAAGGAATCTGTCTCGTCGAAGAGATTTTCAATAAGTCAGCAAGCTCCACCTCCCCTTCCTGTGATGCACCAACAGCATATTAGTTCGCATCATAATATGCACCAACATTCAATGTGGCATACGAGGAGTTTTGAAAGTGGTATCGGTAAGTGTTATAATGTCTGCTATAATAGAGATAGTTAATTTTTTTATCTGTAGACTCGGACGTAGTCGAATCACCCTATAACCAAATTTACGGACGATTACCTATACCTACAAGGGCGTATATTCCAAATCAGTCACGTACCATGTATATTGGAGAATGGGACTAATATTGTGTATGTACATAAATGAAGTTTTGTAAAAACGTAAAAGGACATTATATCCAATTCGAAGACTTTGTAAATCTCATTATTTAACATCACTTGTCTGTTTGATACTGCCACTACTGTTTATAGACTTTACAGCAAATTTATACTATGAGTGCTATTTTATACTTGTAAACGGCTTTGTAACATATTATTTACAGAATATTTAATTTAATTTAGTAAAAATTTTAGTGTTCTGTCAAATACTCAGTAAATAAATGTACCTATAGTATTATAACAACGGATATTAAATCAGGATGTGATTATATACGTCATAGTCATGTTATTATAATATATAGATAGATATATGCTATGTTGATAGGATACATTTTTGTAAAGTAAACTTATAAATTGTATATTGTATGTTTTTGTAATTACTGCAATAAACGGTGATGGAAGAAATATTTTTTTAACAGATATTATTTAATGACACTGACATTTCATCCGCTAAGGAGCAACTCTCTATTTTTCTTTTCAATTGCAGAAGCTTCAAATCCAAATCGGGTTGCTATTTTTTAATTCAAATGACATTCCAAATTTGCTGTTTCAACTTAAACAATAAACTAAAGGTAATAATAACTCCCAAGTTGCTTCCCCTCCACCCCTGACAAACATTTCGCGGGCACTCAAAAAAAATACCATGTAAGGTAAAATACCAATAATAAATCTTAAAAAATTAAAAAATTCTATCTACAAACATTTCAAAATTATAGGAGATTAAATTTTGCACTTTGTCTATTTATTTTTGTTGGAAAAATAATTTTCCATGTTTTTTTGCTGCAGGCTATTAAAAGAGGAAATAAGAAAGCTGTATCCTAAAATGTAACCATGTTTAACGTTATTTTGTGGCTTTTATTAGCAAAATTTTGTACCTTTACTAAATAGTTATAAAAAACATATACAATATCATCAGTAACAAACAAAAGACAAAAAATGTCAAATGTCAAAAAATAAATGTAAAATTTTTTTGACAGGTTGAATTGGTATCTTATTTTACTTGGAATTTTTCTTTGGGGCGTGGGTTCTGAGAGCCCCTGTATATTGGCTTTAAAAAGATTTTTTTTAACATATCGGGTTCTGCCTTAATGCCACAGCACTGTTCTACTATTTGTTTATTTGTGTAATTATTTCGACTCTGAGTTTTCAATTACAAGCAAATGTTTTTTTTTACATTTTCCGAAAAAAATGCATTAACATTTTTTTTTCAAATGACGTTTTACACTGCCAGAGGTCTTAGAAACTCGGAAAAGTTCAGAAAACGTTGTTGGGTCGAATTTAAGAAAAAAAAAATTAATTTTTGATGGTGTAAATTTGAAAAATTCTGTACCTTTAGATCACAAAAATCGTACACCGAACACGGTGTAACATAATTTAAAAATATCACATAATTTAAAACTAACTTAAATTGTAATTGCGAATTGCGAAGGCAAATCCAGGGTGATTCTTAAATAGACCGACAAAATTTTATCCTTGGTAGTATCAAATGAAAACATGCTGAAAAAAATATTTAAAAAATTCTTTGTTTAACCGTTCTCCAAATAAAATTTATTAAAGTCATTTTAGAGGTAAAGCGTACGCCACTGATGTGTTCGTAAATAGTATTAGCACAGGTAGTGGTATTTGATGAAAATGTACTTGATCATTGCAACAATCATAAACGCCGTAAGTGACACGGATTAAGGGGGTTTTGCCCCTAAAAGATAAAAAGGGTACAGTTTGTCTCCATTTATACTTGGGAAGCTGTAATAAAATTTTGTCGGTCTATTTAAGAATTACCTGTAGAATACCTTTTGTCAATTTTTATATATTTTTATATATTAAAAAAATAAGGCCAATCATTTTTAGGTATGTAAATATCTCATTCTTGATTAAAAACCAATTGCTTATTATGAATTTTCTTGGAATACTAGTAATACTACATAATCGTTGCCATTTTGTTTAGATTAAATACTCTTCATTGCTTCTTTATCAATTAAAGTGTAAGTTTCATTTTTTCATTTGCTTATTGTTCGTGCACCTCCAAGCAAGCAAAATGGGTTCCTTTTATTCCAGACGTTTAGAAGATAACGAGAGGGAGTTGAAAAATATCACAAATAATCTCTTAGAGCTTTTGCAGTAAGTACATAAAGTTGGAAAATCTTTTACTAATTTTTTGATTTTTTTTCAGTGAGCTAGGCCCTGCTGAGCTCCTCAATCGCGCTGTTAAAGATTCCAAGATCTACGAAGTTTGTAAAAACAACGAAGAACTGAGACAAGCCTGCCTGGTTGATGCTTTTAGAAGATACTATGAACAGAAATTTCTCTATGAGGAAGTTTACAACAGAACTGTTGACTACATGCGTCTTTTCGACGATTTTCTCAAAGTTCAAAATGCTGTTGATGAGCAAAGACAATTGGAGGAAGCTAGTTCCGAGGAAACCTCCAGTGTCCGCCGTCGTAACAAACTTGAATCGGACAAAAATTAAGGGAGGGCAATGAATTTTTGATTTTTAAAATTAATGTATTTTTTTGCAAAATCTATAAAAAATGTACACTTGTTTGAATAAAAAAAATAATTTTTTTTAGATTTTTGCTCTTTCACTAAGTCACCCCATCAACCCTGCTGCATTTAAATCAAAATATTGTCTCTCAGTTAATATTTAAAAAATAAATAAAGAATTATCTAAAAATTTGTAGCGGTAATCTCTGGTATTTATACAGAGTGAKTCATTATTTTGACGTATGTAAAAGGTTTCAACTTTTATTCACCTGACAATAATCCACTACTATACAGGCTGTTTCGCCCCCCCCAGGGAAAAATGCCAAGTAAGATACAATACCAGAAACATTGAAAAAAGCCACAAATAACGTTAAACATAGTTACAATTCAGGATACAGSTTCTTGTTTCAGCAACATTGTTTTACGGTTAACTTTGACAAAATTCTCTCAAAAACTAAATCAAAATTTTAACAACATAATCGACGTATTTCCACTGATTAAGACKAGTGATTTTATTAATTTTTTGTGTGGAGATCTATTTTTTAGTACTTAACAATACAGGCTGTTCCGTTTTTATTGTTACAAATTTAAACAACTAATAGAATATTCAATTGTAAAACAAAAGTTTCCTATAAACATGTATCAAAAAATGTTATGTAAGCGAGATACACCCCCTGAAAGAGATGCGTTTTTTAATGGAGTTTTTCCACTATTGCAGTATAGACAAAATTACACAAGTTGGTACAGCACCTTTAAACACCTGAACGAATTCAAATATTAGTTGTCGAAATTTTTATTCACGGGCATTTAAACGATAAGACGAATTTAATTTTTAATTTTTATCCTCTTTATGGTCTGTAACACATATTGTAAACTGATTTTACTCAAAAACGATAAGTTGTATCAAAGAAACGCAATTTTTTGTAAAAAACTATGAAATTTAGAATTGGCTGAAAGTGGCAAGAACCAACAGCCAAAATAATTAGAGCACTTTTAACCCTAAACCCCCCCAGTTTAAGACGCTCCTGAGTAAAAATTTTGACATTTTATCTTTGAATTCGTTTGGGTGTATAAAGGTTATCAATTGTATCAAATTTTGTAATTTTATCTTTAATGGTTTCTGAAATATTTTAAAAAATCCATTAAAAAATTTCGATACATGTTCATAGGAAACTTTTATTAATTGAATTGAATATTCTATCACCTGTTTAAATTTGTAACAATAAAAACAAAACACCCTGTATAATAGTAGTTTCGCTTAATTTTACATTGAGATAATATGTATTAAAATTATATTTTTTATCTTGGGGTAATTTTATTAACCACCTTTTAAGTTTCCTACAATTTAAATTTCATAAAAATCCGTTGGCAAATAACAGGGAAATTAGATATGAAAGTCTAATGTGGGACACTCTGTATTATTTAATGGAAATAGTTAAAAAATAAATATTGACAATACGAGTTAAATGTTTTATTTTTTATTTATCCTCATATCCCACATATCGATAAAAACATAAAAAACAAAAAAAAAACAATAAATCCGGACTTATTGGTAAATGACCGCTCTGGGTATCGAAAATCGACCAAAATTTTGTTAAAAATTAAACGTCACGGCCTTTCACCGATTTTTCTCACTAAAGTAATGAAAAAGGAGAAGAAATAAAACCACAATCGTAGTAAAATAAATGTATTCAACTAGTAAAAAATATTTATAATTAATGGCGCCGATGATTATGGTGGTAATGAGCATGTTGTCCCTCCATCAACTGGTAATAAAACCAATTAAAAATTTTCAATTAAAAAAAAATCACTTACGACTAGATGATCCACCCTCGAGGAGATCAAATAAGCTGCAGGAATTGAAGAGTTAGAAATGTGTCTATTTTGCGATTTCGCCACAATTCCTGCTGAAGGCTACAACATTTTCACTTGTTTGAATCCCGAGTGCATGAAGGAGTCCTGCAGGATCAATTAATAAGAAATCACCCATTATCTCACCGAAATGAAAAAACTCGAAAATTTGGAACGCGAAGAAGCGAAAAATCGCGGTTTAATGCAAACTTGTAATTGTTGCTACGACGAGGAAGTTCTCCCACGTGACATCCACACGTGTGAAAACAATTGCAAATTTTGTAAATCTTGTATTGTGAAAAGTGTCGAAGTGGCCTTTGGGGAAGGAAAACTGTCTTTTTCATGTCTCGCCAGTTGCGAATCCTCATTTAGTCTTCAAACATTACAAGTTGGTGGTGATAAGTCGTTGTGTTTGAATAAAACGAATTTTAGGCCGTTTTGAGTCCGAAATTGTTCTCGAAAATCGCCCAAAAGAAAGCCCTCGAGGAGATCAAAGCTGCAGGAATTGAGGAGTTGGAAATGTGTCCATTTTGCGATTTCGCCACGATTCCTGCTGAGGGCTACACCATTTTCACGTGTTTGAATCCTGAGTGCGTGAAGGAGTCCTGCAGGATGTGCAAGAAGCCGTCGCATGCCCCTTTAAGGTGCGAAGAAATCGACGAGGATGCTGACGTCAAGGCGCGAACTTCTGTTGAGAATAAAATGACTGAGGCTTTGTTGAGGTAACAAAACAAGGAATTATTCACTTACGTTGTTAAAAATTCCAGGAAATGTTATAAATGTGGGGTCAAATTTTTCAAAGAAGAGGGTTGTAATAAAATGACTTGTTCTTGTGGGGCTTCCATGTGTTACTTATGTGAAGAACCAGTAACAGGTTATAAACACTTTAATGAAGATGGAGGCGATCGTTTCGATTTGTGTCCCTTGTACAGTGATACTCATGATTTTAATAAGGAAAATTTGCTCAAGGGGGCTGCTGAATTGCCTAAAACATCTCAATCAATAAGGTTTTTGAATCGAGGCAAACGTAGTTTTTTGCAGTGATATTTAATTACGTTTTCAGGAGCTTTTGTAACTCCTTGCACGCTTTTTAGAAAATCGAAATATTCTGCACCTAAATAAAAAAAAATACAAAAAGAGATTTATAAATTTGTTACATACCTCGATCCATGTAACGAATTAAAACACAACACAAACAGTTAAAATAATAAAATTGACAAAACTAGTACGAATTAAAAGACTAACACTAACGAAATGGTCGAAATCTGACTCGACTCTGATAATCACATATTGTAAAAACGCCGATAAGGGGAGTAAAAATTTTAGATAAACGCGTTGAAGGCCTTTGAATTAAGAAAAAACATGAATTTTTGCAATTTGTTGGGAAAATAATAAAATTTTAGCACTAATTATCATCTGATTCGAGTTTTTGTCCAGTACTTATTATTTATTATTATACTTATTTTTTATTACAGTTGATTTGGATTGGATTTGGATGGAATGAAACTATCAATTTTTTTGTCAAAAATATTATAGGTGTATAATGGCTATAAAATTGCTATTCCAAAAAAAAAAGAATATAAATTAATTGTTTAACTTACGTGATAAACATACTAACAATTTTTTTTAATGGAAACCTACCACAAAATTTTTTTATAGACAACGAGCTTGTTACAAGAATTTTTGTTAAAAAAAATGTTTGACTTACAAGTATTAAAGAATTTTTTTTAATAAACTATTCGCTTTTTTTTTAATAAATTGATGAATATTTAAAGGTTGTAAAAAAGCGATGCCAAAATATTTTTTATTTTAATTAATGGTTTAAACGTACCACCCCTTGGGCGGTGGAAGAAAGTTTTGACAACAGATAAAGTTTATAATTTTTTAACATAAATTGTAACATTTTTAATAAATATTTTTGTACATTTATAAAATGCATGAACATATCTTTGTAAAACATTAATTAAAAAAGTGTTTTATTTAAGAAAAAAATATTAATAATTTGGTAATCTCAAAAGTTTAAACAATTTTTCTCTTTAACATATTTCTAATCGGATCTTTTTTCTTAAACTGTCTAATTTTTAACTTGAACTGAAATGTTTAATCAGAAATTTGTGATTTGAGAAAAATATGCACAAATATGCAATATTTCCTAAAATTTGCACGAAGTTGCCAAAATATGCATTTTTTAATTGGCCTATATTAATCAAAAAACATCAGATATGCATAGAAAACTTATAATTTTGTTGATATACCTCATAATAATCACAAATATGCATTTTGTATATAATTCGAGCCTTATTTATGAATAACCCTATGAAACAAGAAAAATTAGTGTAATTTAAATTAAATATCGCTGTATAATCTTATTGTGGTGCGGAAAAAAAGATTAAGAACAAGTGTAATTTGTTCTTACAAAATTCAACATAAACGATGGATTCCATTATTTTAACAACTAAACTGGTTAAACTAACAGGACGATAGTTCTCTGCATCAAATTTATCTCCTTTTTTATAAATTGGTCTAACTAGTGCTGTTTTCCAATCATTTGGTAATTTACCGGCAACAAAAGATTGATTCATGAGAATGAATTTGGGTCCTTTATTGGCAAAAATTTTGCACTTTTACTACATAATTATAAAAAAAAACATATTCAAGATCATCAGTATCATTAAATAGACATAAATGTCAGAATAGACAATAAATGTCAAAATTTTTTAACAGACAGAATTTTTTAAATATTTGTTTTGTGTTCCTGGTGGCATTCTGTATGTTAAAAGATGGCGAGCGTATAAGAGCGCGAGATTTGAAAGGTGTACGAAAGAACGTGTAACAGTGAAATATGTATAGGTAAGTTTTTTTTATTAATTTTCTCTTATTAAAATTCGAATACTAATAATTCAAACAATTGTTACTCCAAAATGATAATAGCTTTAAAATATGTACTATAAGTGTAATAGTGAAATGTGTAAAGGTAAACAAAAGGTAAGTAAAAGAAAAGGTACTTACTTCCATGTCAATTAAAAATAGTCATTTTTCATTCTTATTCAGAAATAAATTTCAAGAATTTTTGCTACTAAACTGAGCTAAACTCACTTTCCAGTCAAACCGGAAATGATCTTTTCCATTTGTCATTAAAAATAAATGCGAAAAACTGGTATCAGTACGTAAAGACTCAAACAAATACCTAGTTTCTGGAATAATTAAAATTAGTGCAAAATATTTTCTCTTTGGGTGAGATTTAATGTGTCTTCGTTTGAAACTTTTGTCGTAAGTAAAAGTGAAATTTAGTAACTGCGTCTCCTTAGCAAGATTGTTTCCATAATGAGAAAGAAAACAAAGTTTTATTGTTCATAAACTTAGATAGAAATTTGTTTTAAAATTTTTGTATTTTTTGTAATAACTCAGCATTTGGAAGTCTTTTACTTAATGATAGAAAGAAAAAATAGTTCTGCAACCAGAAATACACACATTGGACCTTCTTATGCAACTCAAAATACAGTAACATCAATAGGATCAAGTTATTTATTTATTAATACGGCCACCAAAACGGGAGCCACATTTTTTACACAAAATGTTGTTAGAACCAACCGTTATAACACCCACATCTGGGTCAGACAATAATCCTCGTCGAGTGTTCGAACATCACTTCCAAGAACGATTTTCATGATATGTTTGGGCAGGGATCATTAAAGATCACCTATTTGAACCCCACATTTTACCTCAACGTTAACTGGCGACGCATATCTGGATTTTTTGGAAAATGCGTTGACCGATTTGATGAAGAACTTGCCCTTAACAACATAGAGGGACATGCGGTATTTATTCAGATGTAACTCCACCTTCCACCACATTATCCCACCACCACCAATTGGTTGAACAACCATTTTCCAGAGCGATGGATTGGTCTTCAGATTTAAATTCGTATAATTCAGTACAATTCGTACAATTAGTGTACACAGCCCAAATTAAACCTTTGAAGAGCTGACCGATCGTGTGATTCAAGCAACCCATCAATTAGAAATCACACGGGGATGTGTGTGCAAACGCAAGCTTCCTTAGCCCGAAGAGCTCAAGCGTGGCAAAGGACAACATTTCGAGCAATTTTTATAACGGCAAGTATTAATGACCCACTAACATTGACACTGTTTATGTTCCATAGTTTTTTTCTTATGAATAAATGTAAATATGGTATTAGGACATACCTAAACGAAGATGGGTTGTTCCCAAGGACGTTATATCTAACCTCCTTGGTTGTTTCACTTGACGAGTTTTATAATGGCTAGAAGAATATTTGCTAGTTATCCGCAAACACTCTGTATATGCAAATAAAACAGTCTCAGGCAATCAGTTGCCTAAGCATCACCAGTCTCGATTTTGAATTTTTTTATATTTTATTTGTTTTCTAAATGTATTACACTATATAGGCCTGTTCAGCACAATAGTTAAAATTTAAAGGATTCTGTCCTGTTTTTAAGGAATTTAAAATTCGGTTTCAGCTAAAAAAATCACCTTCGACAAAATTGGTAATTTTTTAGGATATTGCCTCGTTTTTAAGGGTATATTAAAAAATTAAAATGTCAAGGCATTTCGCATTTTTTTAAGGTATAGTATCCAGAACAGGATTGAGAATTAATGAATAATTGTAGAATAACCTTTACTATAAAATAATACATACTCTAAATAATCATAAAGGAAAAACATTTATTTAAACAGCATCATAAGGCACCTTTAATACATTTTTAAATTCTTTCTTAGTTTCAGTTTTTTGTATCTGAAAATTGTTCTTTAATCATAACACGAATATCTTCTTTAAAAACTTGAAGATCGTTTTTACACAGGCGTACGACTTTTTTTAATAGTTTTAAACTGTTTACAGAGATTTTATTTCATCTATTTGGTTAATGAACTCATCTAAAAAAAACCCTTTGTTTTCGGCAAAAGTTGGAAATAGCAATGTTGTTTCTTTAGACGAGTTCTATTTGTGGTTAGAAAATGTGCCAGTTATGAGCAAATACCTGTTACACATTTTCCTGTTGAAAAATATATTTTGAACAAAATCAACACATTTTGTGTATTGTTTATTTATAATCTAAAGTTACAATGTTCTGTCTTAACAAAGTTTTGATAACTTAGCTTTCACAGCTAACCGACTAACCTTTCGTTTTCGGCAAATGTTGGAAATAGCAATGTTGTTTCTTTAGACGAGGTCTATTTGTGGTTAGAAAATGTGCCAGTTATCAACACATTTTGTGTATTGTTTATATAATCTAAAGTTACAATGTTCTGTCTTAACAAAATTTTGATAACTTAGCTTTCACAGCTAACCGATTAACCTTTTGTCATTCATTGTTATCTGATGGTGTATCTGAGTCAAAGAAATTGTTAACTCCTGTGGTTTTCTTCGCCCACGAATCGTGATTAGAATCGTCGGAACTAATTCTTCAAAATATTAGAAAAAAATTAAATCAAAGTAATTGTTTTTCTTACACATTTACATCATTTTGTTACATATTTGTGGCCTAGGCCTCTTTTTTGGTAGGACTTTGATAATTTCTTGAATGGAATTAAGTCGTAAAAAATATACTTATATGGAAATTCGAACTATATACAGGGTGCGCCAGAACTCGCGCCCCAGAGAAAAATGCCATATAAGGTAAGATACCAGGAACATGGAAAAAATGTTAAAAAAAAATATTTATAAAAATTTCGAAGTTATGAGGGTTTAAAGTTTG